TTTTTCCTTTTTATTTCTGCTCTTTTTCTTTTTATTTCTTCATTTTCCTTTCCTTTGGGTTAGTTGGCAGCATCAATGTGGTAGCCTTCTGGTGGTCAGTGCTGGCAGCTGCAGATGTGGGACTTCCTGGCATTTGGAGGTGGCAGCAGCGACAGCAAGGATGTTCTCCCAGCATTTGGGGCCAGTGGCGGCAAAGCTCCTCCAGCGATTGGAGGCGGTGCTGGAAAGGCGATATCTCAGAGGGGAGTGGCCAGAGCAGGACTTTTGCTGCAGTGGTGGAGCCAGGGACTCCTAATTGGAGCAGTCCCATAGCAGGGACTCCTGATGTTGGCAAGGTGGCAGCAGCATGATATGCCTGGAGCGGGGACTCCTGGTATCATTGAGGCAGCAGCGGAGCCAAGGACTCCTGGTTGCAATCGCGGTAGTGGGGACTTCTGGTAATCAATGAGACCATAGTGGTAGCAGAGCCATAGACTCCTGGTTGTGGGGCAAGTATGGGTTCAGCATGGGGCTCAGCAGCAAGGTGGGCCCAGTGGCAAAGATATGGCACCTGAAGAGTGGTGATGCCTATGTTGGTGGGTCTGGCACAGAGGGGTGGTAGGGCAGGTGTTGCTGGTGAGCCAGCTCAGAACTCATGGAGGAGATGGCAGAACAAAGATACTCTCTTTGTTCTCTCTCTCAATTATATCTTCCTACTCTTCATGCAAAATGGCACCAGATTGTGGCTACAGTTGAAGATTTTTACTTATTATTCACTGTAAAATGCAACTGCCAAGAAATGATTCAAATTCAACGTTAATTGTCTGTCCCTTATTATCCTTGAGAAGATGGCATTGACTCACCTCCTTGAACTAAAATTAGAGTGAGTTCCTGAATTTTCGCTCCTATCAAACAAGGAAGAAATAGTGATTATCTTTAAGCCAGGAATATGCGTGTCTTCAAAGGGAACAAGCAGGTGATGGCATTCCTATATTTTGGGTTGCATAGAAACGCAGGGTAGGAACCAGAGGAGGCCCTTCGAGCCTGCTCCACCATTCATTACAATCATGGCTGATCATCCAACTCAAAAGCCTAATCCTACATTCTCCCTGTAACTTTTGATCCCATTCACCCCAAGTGCTATATCTAGCCGCCTCGAATACATTCAATGTTTTGGTATCAACTACTTCCTATGGTAATGACTTCCACAGACTCACCACTCTTTGGATGAAGAAATGTCTCCTCATTTCTGTCCTAAATGGTCTACCCCGAATTCTCAGACTGTGACCCCTAGGTTTAAGGAGTACTGCCAAAGAAAGCTCAGCAACCAAAATCTGGCTTAAGCTAGTGAACAATAAGGAAACGTTCCCATTTACAGTCTTAAATGAAAGCAACTACTTTATAATCATATGGATGAAATGTTTTCTACCCAGCCAACCCACCTTAAATTTGTATTTACCACATTAACCATTCTCATCACCTAAATGAAGCTAGCAACTTATGGTGTTGCAAAATCAAAGAAACTGGGATGACACTACCCACACAAATTCCATCCATAAACCTGAACCAGAAGAAACTTTCATCCAAGCTATCTAAGGTAGGATTGAACCAACTGCTTGTCACAAAAAATACATTATTCTGATTTTTTTTATTCATTCACTGAATGCAGCTGAAACAACATTTATTACCCACCCTTACTTGCCTTTGAGAAGGTGGTGGTGAAAGTGGAGTCTCACTTCAGGACTCCTAGCCTCTGACCTGCTTTGGTAGCCACAGTACTTATATGGCCAGCCCAGTTCCATCTCTGGTCAATGGTATTGATAATATCACTGAACTGTACACTAATACCTCTGTCAAAATGCGATGTTAGATTTTCTCTCATTAAAGGCAGTCAAAGCCTGGCATGTGTTGATTGTTAATAAGATGTTTCAGGCAAAAGTAAGGAAAAAAAAAAATGCAACTAGTATACAGAAGCCAAGTATATTCCCTGAAGCACAGATCGTATGTTGTTATACTGATGATTACTGTGGAATACAACGTAATAGGATAGGCCCAAGGATAGATGTTTATGGGCTTCAGAGATAATGTTGCAAGGGCAGGAAAAATAGTCATTATGTCTGATTATGTAGCTACAATTAGGTTAAAATGATAGGGTGTTACTTGTGACTTTGTTAAGAATCATTTTGGTCTGAAGGCAGGGCAGAAACTGGATTGGAGAGATTCAAACATGAATTCTAGGAAGGATAGGAATGGATTTGAAATACAACTCCATGTTCAAGAACCTTGAAGAAAAACATATTAGAATCAGGACAGCAGTTTGTAAGCATGCAAGTCATGAGTGAATTTCTTTTGAAAAGGTTTATTGACTAACGTGTGGCCAGAATGGGAAGTTAGGTGTTCAATTTAATGGAATTTAGATCACAGTAACAGGAAGAGGATCTCACGGAGTAGCAGTAAGCAAATTTGTCTAGGCAGGCTACCATATGGGACAATAGAGGCAATTATCCCAAATCTTAATCTTAGTGACAAAGAAGCCAATCAGTTCGTCACCGTTGGTGGTGGTGGTGATGAAGAGGGGAGGAGAGTTAAAATGGCCTGCAGTAGAAAAAAAAAGCTGAAGGTTCTTCTTGCATTCTTAGATATTGCAAAGTCTTAGCAGACAAAATTATAACCCAATAGTGTTTTAAATGGAAAAAACAAAGACCTGCGGATGTTGGATATCAGAAGCAAAAACAAGAATTGCTGAAAAACTCGTCAGGTCTGGCAGCATCTGTACAGCAGAGTTAAATTTCAGGTCCAGTGAAAAGTTCTGAAGAAAAGACTCATTGGATCCGAAATGTTAACTCTGCTTTGTCTCTACAGATGCTGCCAGACCTGCTCAGCTTTCCCAGCAATTTTGATTTTTCTTAGTATTTTATGTGGTCAAGCCAGATCAGGCAGTGGATAGCTAAATCAGTTGTCTGCCACACCACATCATTTCAATATCACTTGGACTTGGAGATAAGGGCTGTACTGGGTGAATATGGCCAGGATGCGAGAGACAGCAATGCATTTACTGGGACAATATTGGAGGCAATAGTACAGTTAAGTAAATCAACAGCTGCAGCAGAAATTTTCTGAAAAATGGAGAACAAAAAGCTAGATAGTTGGGATTTTTAAAATGTTGTTAGATGTGAACTGGGAGATAGTGTATGTGCCAGCAGATATAGCAGAGTTAATGTATGAAAGGGAGAATGGAAACAAAATTTAAAGACTTGACAATCCTGTGATGCACATTTGTTCCAGTATCAAGTATTTAGAACTTTAGATATTTACCTAATCAACCTGTTCAGAACTGCTATTACAGACTGCTGATACAGGTGGAACTTGAACCTCTGCCTCCTGGCTCAGCGGTACAGATGTTACCACTGCACCACAAAAACCTTTATTTAGAATTTTACATGCACCATGTCAATAATAACAACTGAACAGCCATATTAAGCAATGCAGTTAAATAGATCATGGGAATTTAATGATTCAAATACTCTCACAAACAGTCAATGAATGGCACCTGCCATTGGTTAGATTTGCCCATGTCCATTTAATCTCTAATATTTACCAAATAACCCATTGTTAATATCTAGGGTCTGAAAGAAGACTGAATCTACATAACCAATTCAGCTGAAACACTGAAATAAACAGTGCAAGAGTCTGGACAAGGAAATCAGAACAGATTATTTCCATGTCAAATTATGTACAAAGAGAGATGATTGATATGAAAGAAAGAGATCAACTGAAAGAAATGTTTAAAAAAAAATTAACAGTCTCCAACTAAAACCAGATAGGCTGAGACTCCAATAACGAAATAGTTCATTTTCAGTGCCTGAGGTTAACTGGCAGTGACAAACATTTAGGATATCATTAAAAGGGCATGTAGACATAAAGCAACAATTATTATGATTTCAAACCGATAGTCAAGGTACAGTACAGAAATTTGCAAATGGATTTTCCATCCAGGCCACTGCCTAACTGACTGGGCACAGTAAGATTACTATTAGTTAAGGCAACTTAAAATAAATTTGTTTCAGGGATAGTAGGAACTGCAGATGTTGGAGAATCTGAGATAACAAGGTGTAGAGCTGGATGAACACAGCAGGCCAAGCAGCATCAGAGGAGCAGGAAGGCTGACGTTTTGGGCCTAGACCCTTC